GCATCTGCTTACCAGTACTTGAGTTCAGCACTTTCTTCCCACAACCGCTGTGAGTCGCCAGCATGGCTGTCTTGGATTTGGGAGCCGTCTGTGACTTCCTGATGGACCACTGCCGGCTCCCCAATGCATATGTGCTCTGGTCCTGCAACCTCCTGGGACATGTGACATAATAGACTCCCTCAAGGGTTCATTGTGGCCAGCTCAGTGGATTGCTGTAGGAAAGTCCTGGAGTCTTTCTTGGATACACAGAATATAACTGGATATAACATTTATAGGTAAAGTTGATCCAGGGAATATCTGATTGCCTCTCGGGGGATCAGGAAGGAATTTTTTTCCACTGCAGGAGCAAATTGGATTATGCTTTGCTGGGTTTTTTTTTGCCTTCCTCTGGATTAACTGTGGGTGTAGGATTATAACTTTTTTTTTAACTGGATGGACTTTTGTTTTTCTTTCAGCCAGGCTAACTCCCCAGTGCCTATGTGCTCCGGTCCTGCAACCTCCTGGGAAATGTGACATAATATACTCCCTCAAGATTTGGTTCTGGCCAGCTCAGTAGATAGCTTTAAAAAAGGCTGTTTGATCATTTCTTCTCTGATCCTCTACTTCTACTGTCCCCAATCCATCTGCAGATAGTACAGAGCCCTAGGAGGCACTCTGCACATGCTCAGTTTGGTATGTATTGCTAGAAAGTCTTTTTTTTTTCTTGGGAGGGTGCATGTGATCAGCACGGGGCCATTTGGCACTGTACAGACAGAAGGTCAGGGGTCATGCATCCTCATAGGATTAGTCAGAGGAGAATGAAAACTACAAGATTAACTAGTGCTCTGCTGGACACTGATAGAAATTACAAGACTGATATATACTGCTGATGAGAAAAGGTATTTAGCAGTTTATATTTATTAAAATAATTGCATTTCCATGTTGTGTGTACTGTGGGAGACCAGATATAGTGAATGCAGGGTCCGGGGAGACCAGATATAATGAATGCAGGGTCTGGAGAGACCAGATATAGTGAATGCAGGGTCCAGGGGGACCAGATATAGTGAATGCAGGGTCCTGGGAGACCAGATATAGTGAATGCAGGGTCCGGGGAGACCAGATATAGTGAATGCAGGGTTCAGGGAGACAGATATAGTGAATGCAGGGTCCGGGGAGACCAGATATAGTGAATGCAGGGTCTGGGGGAGACCGGATATAGTGAATGCAGGGTCCTGGGAGACCAGATATAGTGAATGTAGGGTCCGGGGAGACCGGATATAGTGAATGCAGGGTCCGGGAGACCGGATATAGTGAATGCAGGGTCTGGGGAGACCGGATATAGTGAATGCAGGGTCTGGGGAGAGCGGATATAGTGAATGCAGGGTCCTGAGAGACCAGATATAGCGAATGCAGGGTCCAGGGAGACCAGATATAGTGAATGCAGGGTCCTGGGAGACCGGATATAGTGAATGCAGGGTCCTGGGAGACCGGATATAGTGAATGCAGGGTCTGGGGAGACCGGATAGTGAATGCAGGGTCCTGGGAGACCGGATATAGTGAATGCAGGGTCTGGGGAGACCGGATATAGTGAATGCAGGGTCCCGGGAGACCGCATATAGTGAATGCAGGGTCCGGGGAGACCAGGTATAGTGAATGCAGGGTCCTGGGAGACCGGATATAGTGAATGCAGGGTCCGGGGAGACCAGATATAGTGAATGCAGGGTCCTGGGAGACCAGATATAGTGAATGCAGGGTCTGGGGAGACCAGATATAGTGAATGCAGAGTCTGGGGAGAGCAGATATAGTGAATGCAGGGTCCTGGGTTTAGTAACACTTTAAATCAATTTCAGAAGCATGGATTAAAAATTATTTCTTAGGAGGAAGAGCGCAGAAAAATAGTTAGAATAATAATAGAATTTATAAGTAGTAAGATGGCTTCCATTTGCAGGGACCCTCCCTTATGTGCAACCAACCTTAGTTATCCTTTTGGTTTAATTTGCTGTATAGACCTCTGTGAAACAAAATGTACTCATTACCTACTAAACGTATTACTACATTAAATCTGTATCCAATCTCTATTTATTCAATTTGTTAGTTTGAAAAGCAAGTATAAAGAAATAATGACCCACAGGCAAAGAACGTGGAGCGCCGCTCAAAGCACTACAAAGCCTCCCCCTGCTGTCCAAAGCACAAAACAGTTGCTGGCGCTGAAACAAGCTCATCCAGGCTACATAGATAGTCAGGTAGAAAAAACACACAAGTCCATCTAGTTCAACCGGTAAAAAAGCAGAAGCAAATCAGAAGACAGGAGGAGGGAACGCCGCACACCGGAGCCCAGCCACCATGCAGAACAGTGAAGACAAGGCTTTAGCCTAAGCTCCTCCTGACTACATTCTTCTGACATGTTTCACCCCACCCTTGGGGCCTAATCATACAGAAATAGAAGTGGAGACATTTGTAGGTTTAAAGTGACACTAAACTCTGTTTTTTTTGTATTTTTTTAAATTCCATTAACGGCTTCCACGCCACCCTATAGCAGAAATACAGGGTGCGCAAAATCACGTATATTATTACACAGGATTATATGGCGCCAACAGTTTGCTCAGCACTTTACAATATAACGGGAGAGAATACAGCAACAATACAGTTCAATACAAGAGGGATAGGAGGGCCCTGATCCTGGGAGCTTACAAACTAGGAGGGAGGGGCTAGTGGTACAAAAGGTAGTAACTGTGGGGGATGGACTGGTAGGAGGAGTAGAAGATTCCATTATTAGCTGAAGGCAGGATAGGCTTCCCTGAAGATGAAGGTTTTCAGAGATCGCCTAAAAGTGAGCAGAGTAGCTGGCCAGCTAAGACCAGTCCTAGGTTGCTAGTATATGTGTATACCAAACCTGCCAATAACCTCAGTACAGTATATATGTACATATGTTAAAGCCAAAAGCAGAATCATTGCTGTAATTTATGTCTTTGATTGTTATATGACATTTATATATTCATTGTGTTAGCAGAAGCAGAAAAGGAAAATGTGCCTTTAAGAGTTAGTATAGAGCTGAGCCAATCACAGACAGCCTCACACTGTACAGAGCCTTAACCAATCCCAGCCAGTTTCACATTTATGCCTGTGTAAAACTCCCTGCTAGGATTTTCTAGAGACACATGCTCAGCAGACAGAAGAGGAAACTGACAGTTCCAATCAGAAGATTTTATGGAGCAGAGAAGGCCAAATAGGTATTTAATGCACTTGTGTGTTCCTCTATTGTTTAGTAATGCAGGTAGATCTGTGTGTTGAAACTGTTGTGTGTGTTTTACTTGTAGTTCCACCGAATATATCGAATATAGCGAACAAATTTACAAACGAACGAATCGAATATAGCAAATCGAATTTACTGAATCTAACGAATTTATCAATCTATCGAATCAACCCAATGTAATACAAGTTAAACCATTGTAATATGAAAGAAACAAGCCATTGTAAGCAGTTATATGAAGAAGATTGAAGTTATTAAAGAAGTTAACTAAAGTATTCGGTGTGCTCTTTAAACCTTCTGCATCCATAGAGCGGCATTGGAGGAATTACAGAGTAAAGTCAGTCTAATCAGACAAAGAAACAGCAATTGCATAATTTTTCTAATGCCACAGCGCACTAGGCACCAAAGGGTGCTGCGCCTGCCACAAGCAGAGTAGGCGATAGTCTGATAAATTGGGGTAGAGAGTTCCAGAGGATCGGGGAAGCTCTGGAGAAGTCCTGGAGACGAGCATGGGAGGAGGAGACAAGGGAGCTAGAGAGCAGGAGGTCTTGCGAGGAGCGGAGAGTACAGTTTGGGTAATATTTAGAGACAAGATCGGTGATGTAATTTGGGGCAGAGTTATAAATGGCTTTATACGTTATTGTTTTGAATTTTATTCGGTGGGCAATGGGAAGCCAGTGGAGGGATTGGCAGAAAGGAATCCGTGACTTTGCAGTTCTGGGTAGGGGGCACACAAGGCCTACTCACGCTGCCGTTCGCGGGCTCAGCTGTCAATCAACGGGTCCCAGCCGGTGATTATTCACCGACACCTGGTGATCACTGAGTATCTCAGATGGGGGAGAAACCTGTGTATAAATAATACAGATCTCTCCCTTGTCAGCTCCAGAATACTGCTTTTGGGTGTCTGTGCTTTACACTGTAAGCACACTGCTTTGCACAGGCATACAAAGCAGCGTGCTTACAGTGTAAAGCACAGACACCCACAGTAAAAAAAAAAAAAAAAACACAGTTAACCCTTTCATCACTGCAGATGTTAACCCCTTCCTGCCCAGTGCCATTAGTACAGTGTCAGTGCTTTTTATTAGTACTGATCACTGTATTAGTGTCACTGGGGATGTCAGTGGCAGCTAGTCAGTTCCTCCCCAGTGTCAGTCCCGCTATAAGTCGCTGATCGCCGCCATTACTAGTAAAGGGAAAAAAAATCCCAGTATATATACCGCCATTTGTAGATGTTATAACTTTCACGTAAACCAATTAATTTACACGTATTGGGATTTTTTTTGGCAAAGACACGGAGCAGAATACATTTTGGCCTAAATTTTTATTTTTTTAACTGGACATGTTTATTAGCAAAAATCAAAAAAAATTATTTTTTTTCTCAAAATTGTCGGTCTTTTTTGTTTATAGCGTAAAAAATGCACAGGTGATCAGATACCACAGAAAGAAAACTCAATTCATGGGGAAAAGAAGGACGTAAATTTTATTTAGGTGTAGTGTTGCATGACCGCGCAATTGCCCGTTAAAGTAACGCAGAGGCGTATCGCAAAAAATGGCCTGGTCAGGAAGGGGGGGGGGGGTAAATCCTTTGGATAAATTATGTATTCTTTATTATTATTATTATACAGGATTTATATAGCGCCAAAAGGTTTGCTCAGCGCTGTACATTATAGTGGGGGACAGAACATGAGACAAGACAGTAACAAAACAAAACACGAGGGGTTCGAGGGCCCTGCTCTTTCGAGCTTACAATCTAGAAGGGAGGGGGGGTAGAGGTACAGGAGGAAGTGGCTGTGGGGGATGGAGTGGTGGGGGGAGTGGAGGAGATCGGCTGTTAAGTGAGGGTGGGGTAGGCTTCCCTGAACTGTACTGTGGGATACCAGATATAGTGAATGCAGGGTCCGGGGAGAGCAGATATAGTGAATGCAGGGTCCGGGGAGAGCAGATATAGTGAATGCCGGGTCCGGGGAGACCGGATATAGTGAATGCAGGGTCCGGGGAGACCAGATATAGTGAATGCCGGGTCCGGGGAGACCAGATATAGTGAATGCAGGGTCTGGGGAGACCAGATATAGTGAATGCAGGGTCCAGGGAGACTAGATACAGTGAATGCGGGGCCCGGGGAGACCGGATACAGTGAATGTAGGGTCCGGGAGACCGGATACAGTGAATGTGGGGTCTGCGGAGAGCAGATACAGTGAATGCAGGGTCCGGGGAGACCAGATATAGTGAATGCAGGGTCCGTGGAGACCGGATACAGTGAATGCAGGGTCTGGGGAGAGCAGATATAGTGAATGCAGGGTCTGGGGAGACCAGATACAGTGAATGCAGGGTCCGGGGAGACCAGATATAGTGAATGCAGGGTCAAGGGAGACCAGATATAGTGAATGCAGGGTCCGGGGAGACCGGATATAGTGAATGCAGGGTCCGGGGAGACCGGATACAGTGAATGCAGGGTCCGGGGAGAGCAGATATAGTGAATGCGGGGTCCGGGGAGACCAAATATAGTGAATGCAGGGTCCGGGGAGACCGGATACAGTGAATGCAGGGTCCGAGGAGACCGGATATAGTGAATGCAGGGTCCGGGGAGACCGGATATAGTGAATGCAGGGTCCAGGGAGACCGGATATAGTGAATGCAGGGTCCTGGGAGACCAGATATAGTGAATGCAGGGTCCGGGGAGACCAGATATAGTGAATGCAGGGTCCGGGGAGAGCAGATATAGTGAATGCAGGGTCCGGGGAGAGCAGATATAGTGAATGCAGGGTCCAGGGAGAGCAAATATAGTGAATTCAGGGTCCGGGGAGACCAGATATAGTGAATGCAGAGTCCAGGGTGAGGAGAGTAGGTGACAGTCTGATGGATTGGGGTAGTGAGTTCCAGAGGATGGGGGAGGTCCTGCAGTCGGGCGTGGGAGGAGGAGACCAGGGAGCTAGCAAGTAGGAGGTCTTGTGAGGAGCGAAGAGTGCAGGTAGGGTGGTATTTGGGTATCAGGGCGGTGAGGTAGTTTGGGGCAGCATTATGAATGGCATTATTATAATACAGGATTTATATAGCGCCAACAGTTTGAACAGCACTGTATTCTTAACTCTAAAAATATTGCTCTCAGCCTCCAAATCTCCAAATTTTTTTTTGTTGCTGTGAATCACTTCCCCGTTAGGCTTCATTCACACCAATGCGTTTTTTAGTGCCTTTTGCAGAAACGCACTACAATCCATTTAACATGGTTTCCTATGGAACATGTTCACATCTGTACTTTTTTGAGCCACTGCGTGTTTGGAAAGGGTCAGGGACTTTTTTAAATGCAAAAAGCAGCGTTTTTGCTACAATACAGTTCAGTGGAGAAGTTGCTGAAATGCACGTTTTTTGCAGCGTTTTGTGTTTTTGCATTTTTATTCTGCCCAGCAACAAAAATAATTCCACTTTAACAAAAAAAAAAAAGCTGAATAAAATGCAAAATTCAGTAAAATGCATCAAAAATGGATCAAGGACACGTAGAAAAAATGCAAAACTGACTACGAAAAGCACTGCAAAACAGACAAAAAGCAAACTGCATAGGTGTGAACGGAGCCTAAGAGGGTGGCTACGTTCGTTGTCCATGGTCCCACTGTATAGAGGAACGTAGGCACCCTCTCTTGATCGCTTCTGAGATGGACTAGGCACTATGGGATTTGTAGTTTGCATAGAGCAGCGGACATGACAGCAACTAATGAGCCCTGCTGGTTCCAAACAAGCCGAAGTGAGGTGGAATAGGAAAGGCTCAGAAGCTCATGGAGGTCATTACAAGGAGGCAGAAAAACACAGAAATGATTTCATGAAACACAAATGACAGGGCCATCACATGGATGGATTATTTTGGGAGAATAAGGATGTCACTTAGTGTCACTGACTTACCCCCCGGTCACCTCAAACCCTACTTTGAAATCGTGCGACTTACAGTGAAGTCGCACGATTTCAAAGTCGGAGGACATGACGATTTCAAGTGCGATTTGCAAGACATCTGATATACAGTAGATGTCTATGCAAATCGCACCAAAAGTATCGCAGGTACTACTTTAGAAATCGGTGCAACTTCGACCAAGTCGGAACCACACTGATATGACCGCTGTAATTGCAGACAATAGGCTGCGGTTTGGCATGTGATTTGCAAGTCGCATGCCAATTTGCATCCAGTGTGGCTGGGGTCTTAAGGCATACTTTGGCAGCAGCAGCAGCAGCAGCAGCAGCAGCAACTAGAGCAGCCAGGAGTGTGAATGTACTGGTCAAGCTTTCTGTTGGCTTTCTGATGGAAGCGATTCTATCTATTGGTACATACTGTAACCCTCTCCCCTTGGTGGGTGTCACTGAGTAGAGCAGTGATTGAACCTGGAAGTGACAGGCATTACATCACTTGCTGGTTCAGAGCTGTTATTCTATGGCAGCCATGGCCCTGGATGAAGTTAATGAAGCAGGGCAGCACAATGGCTAAATGGTTATCACTTCCACCTAGCGGCACTATGGTCATTGGTTCAAATCCCAACCACAGCACCTCCTGCCTGGAGTTTGCATGTTGTGCCTGTGTGGGTTTCCTCCGGGTACTCCGGTTTCCTCCCACACTCCAAAGACAAGCTGGTAGGTTAATTGGATCCTTTCTAAATTGGCCCTTGTATATGAACGTGAGTTAGGGACCTTAGATTGTATGCCCCTTGAGGGTTAGGGAGTGATGTGAATGTACAATATATATGTAAAGCGCTGTGTAAATTGACAGCGCTATATAAGTACCTGAAATAAATAATTAAGCTGATAAAGCACATTCTGTGTTTGATCTGCATCATTGGGCTTTGTAGGGGACATTAAACCAGAAATCTGGGGGGAAAAATGTTATGCTCATGCAGTGGGGCTGTGCCGGCACTGCACAGGTTAAATGCTTGTTTTGTTTTGTTCTAGGGGAGAGGAAACCAAAGGTATACTCACCTGACCCACCACCGGTCCTTTCGGCTTCTGATCCCCCCCTGTGTTGCAACGGTCTTGTAAATGGACTGTTCCTGATGTCAGCACACTCAATGAATGCTCCAGAGACAGGAACAATCCACTGCTGGACCATGGGGGAGCACGGTTTTCTGTAGGATCATGGGTTAGGTGAGTATGAGCTTACTCCTCACCCCTAGAAAAAATGAGCAACTGATCTACTACATGGTAAAAAAAAAAAAAATTAACTGGACTGTAAAGCGGAAAAAGGGAAGTTCTACTCTATTACCTCTTTCTCCCCTCCTCTATCACATTTAGATAGTATTTGGTTTTTTTTGGTGGGGGGGGGGGGGTAGCTGGTCTCAACAGATACTGACTCCCATTTCCGCCTAGGCAATCTGAGCGGAGGTTTTCTCTCTCCCCCGCACGCAGCCTTTTGGGACACATCACAGATCCCAGAACGCTGCCGGACCGTTCACAACGCGCAGCACAGATAGTGCATGTGCAGTGAGCAGCCGGCTGTGAAGCTGCAAAAGGTTACAGCTGGCTGCCCACAGTAAACATGGCGGCACCAGGGACAAAGGACTGGTGAAGAAACTGGCTTAGGTGAGCACAGTGCTGGATCCTTGGGCAGGTGAGTCTCTGTTTATTAACAGTCAGCCGCTACTGTTTTTGTGGCTGCTGACTTTTAGTTTTCACATACCCAACTGCAACTCAGATCCTTGATGACTCCATAAAAAGGACCTGTCACCAGCAATATGCTATCACATAGGGGGCTGATAAAAGTGGAAAAAATGCAGCGCTAAGCTTATGTCTAAAATAACATAATGCAAGGTATCAAGCATATAAAATATAGAGATTCCAGTGTTGGAGCAACAACAGAAGTCCAATTTGTATCCAGAGGAGACAGCAAATGGGGAAAAAGGGTCCTTCACCAACACCAAACACACTGCCCCTTACGGGGTACTCTGGACCCCCAAGGAAGGTCAATAAGCGCTGTATGTTTCCGGAAATAATCACTTTATAAGTTGTACTTCATGAAAATCCATCCTTAAGAAGGATACTTCTGGTGAAAAACACCTAAATTCCTTGTAGCCTCATATGGGATATTCCAAAATAAAGACATAATGCTCATAGTGTAGTAAATAATAATCATTTTATGGATACATTGTAATACAACTTCTACAACCAGCATGTCTCCATAAACATAGAAAGATAGTTTTAAACCAATAAGATGGCCGTCACATTCCCGTGCGCAATTACGTCATATACTCTGGCTCCAAGCAACACATTTCATCATCAATGATGTTATCAGGGGCGTGGCCTGCGTCACTATGTCACACTTTTTTACGGAGGAAAGAGGACCCTCCTCCTCTAATAGTTTTAACCCGAAACTGGAAGATTTTAACCTCAGCTGCAAAATACATTACCACATCCCTGTCCCCCTCCGGTGATGCTGCCCCCCACCTGTGACACTGTCCCCCACCTATCCCGTTACCAACCTCGTGTGGTGCTGCCCCCCACCTGTCTTGCTGCCCCCCCTGTTGACACTGCTTCCCACCTTTGATGCTGCACCCCACCTGTCCTGCTGTACCCACCTGTCTCGCTGCACCCTACCTGTCCTGCTACTCCCACCTGTCCCCCTGCACCTCACCTGTCCCACTGCACCTCACCTGTCCCACTGCCCCCCTCCTGTGATGCTGTCCCTGTCCCCCTCTGGTGACGCTGCCCCACATCTGTCCCACTGCCCCCCACCTGTCTCGCTGCCCCCAACCTGTGACACTGTCCCCCACCTATCCTGCTGCCCCCTCGTGTAGTGTTGCCCCCCCACCTGTCTTGCTGCCCCCTCCTGTGACACTGCTTCCCACCTGTGATGCTGTTCCCCACCTGACCCACTGCTCCCCTCCTGTGATGCTGCCCCCACTTGTCCCACTGCCCCCCTCCTGTGATGCTGCCTCCTTTCTGTGCTGCCCATTCCTATGATGCTGCCCCCCTCCTGTGATGCTGCCTCCTTCATGTGCTGCCCCTTCCTATGATTCTGCCCCCCACCTATCCCACTGACCCCCTTTTGTGCTGCCCCTCCTATCCTACTGCCCAACCCCTCTGATGCTGCCCCTCACCTATCCCCCTGCCCCCCTCTTTTGATGCTGCCCCCTTCCTGTGTTGCCCCCTCCTATGATGTTGCCCTTCATATATCCTACTGCCCCCTCCTGTGACGCTACCCCCCCCACCTATCCCTCTGCCCCCTCCTGTGATGTTGCCAACTCCTATGATGCTGCCCCCCCCACCTATCTGCTGTTCCCCTCCTGTGATGCTGCCCCCCACCTGTCCCAGTGGCCCCCTCCTGTCCCACTGCTCCCCTCATCTTGTTGTCCCTCTCCTATCCCACTGCCCCCCTCCTGTCACGCTGGCCCCCTCCTCTACTGCTGCCCCCCTCCTGTCCCACTGCTCCCCTCATCTTGTTGTCCCTCTCCTATCCCACTGCCCCCCTCCTGTCACGCTGGCCCCCTCCTCTCCTGCTGCCCTCCTCCTGTCCCACTGCTCCCCTCATCTTGCTGTCCCTCTCCTATCCCATTGCCCCCCTCCTGTCACGCTGCCCCTCCACCTGGCTCCTAAATTTTGTAGCTGGCTCCTAGATTCAAAGCAAATTTGTCAAGCCCTGGCTTAAAGGTATAAATATGCAGAAAAAAGACATGGACGAAAGAAAAAAAAAACCTTTAGCAGACTCGGGGGTTTAGGAACACAAAGTTCTTTATCTGCGTAACAAGGGGTGTGAAGAGGGTGTACTCTATACATGATGACGTCTCTCTTTCCTATCCCAGAAAGTGATGTATGTACAGTATGCGGAAATTAACTTTGACACTTCTGAATAGAGAGTCTGAGTCATTCTGCATCACAGCCAACAAGCTCAATGTATGAACTAGAAAAACAACTGCTGCCAGGAGGAGGAGCTGCTGAGTCAAGCAGTCTGTGACCTCCCTCCCTGCCATGATGTTTTCCCACCATGGGAGGGTCACAGGCAGGGTGTGTTAGTTCTCTAGGCGCCATCTTGAGATTATAGTTCAGAGTCACAGGAAATCTATACCAGGCAGGAGCTTTGTCTCCAACAAGGGAAGGGTAGTATACATATAAATGCCATACCTGTGTTGGTTCTGACAGGTATGTCATTTATATGTACACTGCTATCATCCCTTTAAAGATCCCTGAAAAGATTTCTTTCTTTCTGGTAAGTCATTATTTATTTCTCTTTATTTAGCAGTCAGTGGGTTGAGGATTAAGTACACTGGGAGCACAAGAACAGATCATAGCTATGGAGTGAGCTATTGATATATATTTTTTATATATTTTTGTTATATCAGAAAATGTACTCTTCTAGTTAGCTTCACTGAGTGTTTTAGTTACAGTTTAATTTGGAAGATATGTATTTCTGTAACGTCGGTAGAGTGAGATTAAAACTTTGTATTTTGTTGTTTTTTTTAAACTTTGTAAAAAAAAAAAAAAAAAAAAAAAGATAATGTGGACGCCATCTAGTGGAGAATGAAGGAACTGACTGACATAGCAAGCCCTATGGGGCATAGTGTTGAATTTTGCTGTGCGCCCTCTAGCAGACCTCAGTGGAACTGCTTTCTGTTATTGGCAAAAAACATGTTTAGTATTCAGTACATACTTTGTATATACAGACAGTATTATTATTATTATACAGTATTTATATAGCGCCAAAAATTTTGCTCAGCGCTGTACAGAGAAGTGGGGGACAGAACATGAGACAATACAGTAACAAAACAGTATACGAGGGGTTCGAGGGCCCTGCTCTTTCGAATTTACAATCTAGGAGGGAGGGGGTAGTGGCATAAGAGGAAGTGGCAAGTATATACTTTTTAGGTTTAGTTTCACTGAGGCTAAAGTGTCTTGCTGCAGTTTTCTTCATTTGGAAGAAAAGTTGTTTTTTTTTCAGCGTTGAGCGAGAATACAACTTTGTTTTTCTTTTTTTTAGTAACTTTGTAAACAAAAAAAAAAGATTCCAGCGACAACTAACAAAGAGTACGCACACAACGAGCTCTATGGGGCATAGTAATACATTTGGAAGAACAGTATTTTTTTTTTTAGCGTTGATAGATTGAGAATACAACTTTGTTTTTCTTTTTTTAATAACTTCGTAGAGAAAAAAAAAATTCCAGCAACAAATAAAAAAGGACGCACACAGCAAGCTCTATGGGGCATAGTAATACATTTGGAAGAAAAGGGTTTTTTTTTTTTTTGATTTTTTAGCGTTGATAGAGCGAGAATACAACTTTGTTTTTCTTTTTTTAATAACTTTGTAAAAAAAAATAAACAATACCAGCAACAAATAAAAAAAGGACACACAGCAAGCTCTATGGGGCATAATAATAATAAATTTGGAAGAAAAGTTTTTGGGGTTTTTTTAGCATTGATGGAGCAAAAATACAACTTTGTTTTTCTTTTTTTAATAACTTTTTAGGAAAAAAAAATTCCAGTGACCAAAAAGGACGCACACAGCAAGCTCTATGGGGCATAGAAATAAATTTGAAAGAAAAGTTTTTTTTTTTTTTTAGCGTTGATAGAGCGAGAATACAACTTTGTTTTTCTTTTTTTAATAACTTTGTAAAAAAAAAAAAAAATTCCACCGACAAATCACAAAAAGGATGCACGCAGCAAGCTCTATGGGACATAGTAATACATTTGGAAGAAAAGTATTTTTTTTTTTAGCGTTGATAGAGCGAGATTACAACTTTCTTTTTCTTTTTTTAATAACTTTATGAAAAAAAATATTCCAGCGACAAATTTAAAAAAAAAAACATGCACGCAGAAAGCTCTATGGGGCATAGTATTAAGTTGAGCAGTGCGCCCTCTAGCAGACCGCAGTGGAACTGCATTGTGTTGTTGGCAACAAGTTGTGCTTGTCCTGTGTGTCCTTGGCTGCTGAGCTGAGTCACCCCCCCCCTCCTCTGTGTATGTGACACATGGCATGGGATTGTCGGCCACAGCCCCTGTTGCAAACTCTGATTAGAACCAAATAAACCACCAAGATTTTCACTACAAATTTAGGATTAAATCCCCTTTTTCCAAATGCTACTCTTAAAAGAATCACGTGCGTTCGCCTGGTTGAATCGCTTGCCGCAGGCTTTTAACCCTTTCACTTCTACAGTAGTTTTCTTCTATTTTTCGCACTTCTTAAATGCCCGTTCTAGGCCCAAAGATTATTTAACCACTTCAAGTCCGGACACTTATACCCCCTTCCTGTCCAGACCAATTTTCAGCGTTATCACACTTTGAATGACAATTGCGCGGTCATGCAACACTGTACCCATATGAATTTTTAGTATTTTTTTGAGACAGATAAAACTTTATTTTGGTGGTATTTATTCACCACTGGGATTTAAATTTTTTTTTTTTGCTATATAAATGAAAAAGTCCAAAATGTAGAAAAAAGGTGTTTTTCTTATACAATTTTGCAAATAAATAATCTTTCTTCATAAATCTTCGCCAAAATTTATTCAGTTATCTTTTTAGTAAAAAAAAAAAATAACCCAAATTAGTTTATAACCAAAAATTATAATTTTACACAATGGGAGACCTCAATTTCTTAGTTCTTAAAGGAAATTTCAAATCCAATCAGGAAAGAAAAACTTTGAACTAAGAATAATTCTATTTGACACAAGAGATATCGCCTGAATTTGGACCTGGGATTCCTCAATCATTATCCAACAGTTTTATGACTATCAGCTCAAGCTTCACTCCCTCTGTGATGTGAGTGTTGTCTTACCACCCCCCACCCTTTGCTTTTGCTGTGCCTTATCTCTAGCCTTTTTTTTTTTTTTTTCCCATCTCTTCTAACATTCTGCTAAAACATTGTGATTTGTATAGTACTGCTTGGACCTTGAAGAAGGGGACACTCCCCTAAAGCTTGTCCTCAAAATTGTATGTTAGTGCAAATAAAAAAAGTATCACGGACAGTACTCAATTTTTCAAAAAAAAAAAAGTTACATTTTTATTTTATTTTTTTATATTATTATTTATGTGTTTTTTTTTTTAACATACTGTCACCCTAGCAGTACATACTTAATGGGGAGCAGGGGGAGCAGTCCTTAAAGTGGAACTTCCCCTTTTGGGTGAAGCTTCGCTTTAATTACCTTCAGTTTCATTATCTCTGAACTGGGGGACATTTTTTACAATTTAATAGGCCATACTAGGAACTACCTGATTCTTTTGCATGTTTTGGTAAAGTTACCATAACCGGCAGCAGGAGTTTTTTTTAAATCTGGCACAGGATTTTTTAAAGGGCCAAGCTACTAGAAAAGTAGCACAGAGGATTTATTGAGTTCCCCTCACTGTGTTTTACTTTTGCAGGAATTTTTCCAGGATCACCTCCTCTTTTATTAAAGGAGCAATGATGCCTTGCTTCCACACGAGTCCCAGCACCGGAAATCTAGCCGACTGCAAAGAGTGTAAACCAAGGTGAGCGTAAGAGGATCTAGCTGCACGCCATTGCTGATCTGCTGTATTTGTGTGCCTTTTTACCTGTTCTAGGGTGACAACACTCACTGTACCGCATCTAATTGAGTCATTTCCCCTTTGGGATTGATAAAATATTTTGAATCTGAATGTGAAGGAGCAGAGTTGTCACCCTAGGATGGGAAATACAGTTGCAGTATGTCACCCCTCCCCTCATCTACATAACATGTGGGAGGTGTTTCTGCAGTTCACAAGGGAGAACTGGGCAGGGTTGATATTTCTTGATAATACCCACACACAGCACAGAAAGTTATCCGCTTATGACAGGATCAACAGGTATTTTTTTTTGACCGTTGTAGCAAAATGTTTTGAAAGGTATATTTAAGAGAGCAAAAGGAAGCGAAAAGAAGTTTATTGTTGAGATTTATATACATTGTAAAGGGGGGGTTTTGAGCCAAATTGACACGTGGTATCTTACCCTTCTGTGTAGAAGCACAGAGTGGTCACCCGCCATTAGCAGTACAAATTCTTCATTTTACTAGATGCCAGACCTCAGATTACAATTTCCCTACAGGTGAAACCTGGTACTGCAGCCTGACCATTTAGCAGTACGTTCTATTGTAAACATTTTTTCGAAAATAAGAACGACAGCAGCTGTTTATCTAGGACATCTGACGTCATTTGCTTGGCTAATAAGGGCCAAGCTCAGGGTTTCATCACTCCAAAAATAAGAGTTAAAACCCACCTCTGGGAAAGTATCAGACTATCCTTTGCATTGGGGCTGCTACCACACTGCAAAGGTGAACTGATTTTGTTCAGGGGAGAAACTCCTTTACTTACTTGATCCTCTGCTCCTCCAGCAGATGGTGCTCCCCCCATACTCCAGTGATGGACCTGGTGTTCCCACATCCAGTGCAGGGCTATGGAGCATTGTCTTGATGACAATGCAAGAATTAACGTAGCAGCAGGGAGGAGCGGATGATTGAATACATTTGCTTTTCTATGTCCGCAGACCTAAACAAGCAATAAACCCTTTCAGTGCAGGCACAGCCCCACTGCAAGGGATGATTTTATCATTTCCCAGAGTTGAACTTTAAAGTATCTACTATAAGTATATCTGAAATTCCATTTTGTATAGGGTAAGGAATGGCTAAATCCTATGCTGTGTCACATTAGGGAGTTTTCCCTTTGTCGTAGGAGCAACAGAAAATGTATTGCATGTTGCAATGCAGCATTTTCCTTTAAAGCAGAACAAAGCCCTCCAATACACTCCTCCTCTCCAGTGATGCAACGTCTGTGAGCTTCCTCGCCAGCGTCTACATTTTCTTTCTGGGTGTGGGGACTTTGACCACCTTGATTGGCCGGCATAACATATTTCCCACGCATGCGCACAAGAGTTAATTCATCCCGGCACCGAGGTGTGTGCCCAGAATGTACATGGGGAGCCAAGTGTACAGGGCTAAGTTCTGCTTTTACGCTTGGGCCATCCCTATTCTGGGGGTTTCATTGGAGGAAAAATAACTAAAAATATCAATGTCTTGTTTTCTACAATAGGAAAAACGGATATACCAAGGACACTGAAACGGAAATGAAGCTACAAGACTCTCCCATGAAGATTGCTCCCATGGATCAGGACCGAAACAGTGAAGCCCGGGTGCTCAGCTGCAATCTGAAAAATAACCGTAAGTCAAGTCGTGGATGGGGAGGGGGGGGGATGGTTATTATTATTATACAGGATTTATATGGCTCCAACAGTTTGCAATATAAAGGGACACAATACAGCAACAATAGAGTTCAATACAAGAGGGATAGGAGGGCCCTGCTCCTTGGAGCTTACAATCTAAGAGGGAGGGGCTAGTGGTACAAAAGGTAGTAACTGTGGGGGATGGACTGGTAGGAAGAGTAGAAGATTCCATTATTATCTGAAGGCAGGATAGGCTTCCCTGAAGAGAGAGGTTTTCAGAGATCGCCTAAAAGTGAGCAGAGTAGGCGACAGTCTGATAGATTGTGGTAGAGAGTTCCAGAGGATGGTGGAGGCTCTGGAGAAGTCCTGGAGATGAGCATGGGAGGAGGAGGAGACAAGAGAGCTAGAGAGCAGGAGGTCTTGCGAGGAGCAAAGAGGATGGTTTGGGTGATATTTGGAGACAAGATTGGTGATGTAATTTGGGGCAGAGTTATAAATGGCTTTATATGTTATTGTTAATATTTTGAATTTTATCCATTGGGCAATGAGAAGCCAGTGGAGGGATTGGCAGAGAGGGGTGGAGGACACTGAGTGGGGGCCAGTAGAGGGATTGGCAGAGAGGGGTGGAGGATACTGAGTGGAGGCCAGTGGAGGGATTGGCAGAGAGGGGTGGAGGATACTGAGTGGAGGCCAGTGGAGGGATTGGCAGAGAGGGGTGGAGGACACTGAGTGGGGGCCAGTGGAGGGATTGGCAGAGAGGGATGGAGGACACTGAGTGGAGGTCAGTGGGGGGATGGAGGACACTGAGTGGAGGTCAGTGGAGGGATGGGCAGAGAGGGGTGGAGGACACTGAGTGGAGGCCACTGGAGGGATGGGCAGAGAGGGGTGGAGGACACTGAGTGGAGGCCAGTGGAGGAATTGGCAGAGAGGGGTGGAGGACACTGAGTGGAGGCCAGTGGAGGGATTGGCAGAGAGGGGTGGAGGACACTGAGTGGAGGGCAGTGGAGGGATTGGCAGAGAGGGGTGGAGGACACTGAGTGGAGGGCAGTGGAGGGATTGGCAGAGAGGGGGTGGAGGACACCGAGTGAAGGCCAGTGGAGGGATTGGCAGAGAGGGATGGAGGACACTGAGTGGCTGTTAGGATGACTTTTACATAAAATCCAGCTGCTGGATAAAAAAACGAAACTGGGATGATGCCTACAACCACTTAATGCCAAATGACATACATGTACGTGATTTGGCGTCAAGTGGTTAAGCCAACCACACACTATACAATCTGATTGCACAACCTCCTTTAGATCTAACATCAAGTATGTAGTGTAAGAACCTGCCTGATTGGATATAAATTAAATGGATGGTTTAGGTGTGTCATTATATTATATAGTTTTAGTAAATCTAAAAGCGATTGTACAGAGATTGAAAAACCCCACACATTTACTTCCTTGAATTCTGCAACATATTCACTATGTCCTGTGGGTGGCACTGCTGTGTCATACATTTCACAGAGCCTGCCTTCTGATCTACAGAGAATGAGTTTCAGGAGGCGGAGTCGGTACAGCAATCAATTCTTGCAGATAGCAAGGTACCATGGGCTATGTAGTCCTTGGAAATTGAAAGTGAACAGCAGAGTAGAAGCTGCAAAGCATGCAGGGAATCCAGGAAATTATGGAAAGAGATGTCAGCTGACAGGCAGCACTCACAAGATGAAATTTGATTTTTTTCAAGTAATCTTATATTGGATTGTCAAAAATAACTATTGTTTGTATTGCTATTACAAGGGTGATGTTATAAAATGAAAGTATACACTGTGACTATAGAACTCGATTAAGCTATACCAACTCATTTTGGATCCGTTGATGAGTCAGTGTGTGAGCCATGGACTATACCTCAGCATGCAGGGCCGCTTTTCTGTATGGATCCTAATGAAAAAGCCTCATCCCTACACGCCTACTGGGAGACCGCTTCTGCATTATGGCCTATGGTGAATGGATTGCGCATGCACAGCCAGCTGAGAAGAGGAATGTAGCACTGTCTGGCTTGGACCAACTCATCCACTGATTTATGGCAAATTTAGTATGGCGGGAGTCAGTTTGGATTTAGCCATTTAAAAGTATAGTTACCTTTTATATTCTTCTGTCTTGGCGTAGTCAGTCTGGTTGAAATGTATGTGGTTAGTTTAGGACCATAAATATAAACTGTGCAGGGGTCACTTAATTGCCGTTGCTTGTAGAATCAACAAAGGGTCATAGCAAGCCTCCAGTAGCTGAATACATGGTATCCCCGGAATATCATTTCACCTTTTGCACTGCATATGCATGGATGACAAGATGGCTGTATTACTTTCCAGCTCCAATGTTTCCCGCTCCTAAAGCGACTTGATTGCCGGCTGCCTTTGATAAGGTTGATTTGGACACTTTGCAAGCTATGATTCTCAAGCTTCTTAAGAATCCCAATAGACACGTTCAGGTCATTGACTGAACAATCCACATCATGAAGTCAGCGACGTTCATGTCACTTATCTTTGAAGGTACCAATATCTGGAAGTAATGCAAGAGTGGATACAGCCTTTGATGTGGTCACTGTTAAGACCCTCTTATTGGGACCACCTTCAGAGGCACTCCATGAGCTCTTTCAAAGTAATGCCTGATGTGTGTGAGTGATAGCACTGAACCGGCAGAAGTGAGAATTGACTCGGATGAATATACAGTGAAGTGCGTCTTCCTTCAAAGAAGCTGATATGTGATGAAAGTATGGTGACCTTCGTTGCTTCTATCCCTCTACCTCTCCAGCTGTCCATTGTCAGTGCTGTTAGAAGAGAATAGCCTTAATGTAGGTCCTCTAGTGCATTCCATTGTGATTCTAATAACATCTACTACTCAAACTCTGAAGAAGTGAGGCCCTTCCTCCGAAACACGTTGGTTGTATTTGTTCTTAATGTTTCTAAAAGGTCTTTAAGTGATATGAACTTTTGTACTAGGTGCTCCTCAGTACCCATCCAAGAGTTTCTCCTTAAATGTAAAGACTGAATGACCGTTTACTGAACAGTAGATACACGAGGAGTTCTCCTGACCATTAAAGAGAGGTTGTTCCATTATTCAGTATTACCATATGAAGTAAACCTACTTACATGCTGGTGTCTTGAAAGGACTTAACATTTCCTTACTGAACATAACAGATGAAAATTTAGAGCATCAGCTATTCAATATGTAACTTTTAGCAATTCTAGGATGTGTTTGTGACTTTGGGACACCTCCTCCAGATGGAACCTTGAAGTAGTCTAGCTTCAAAGTCAAGACTTCCAACATCAGGAAAAAAAGAGCAAGGATCCGAGAAAAACCTTTGCCGATTTGATGGTGAGAAGAGAGCGAACAGACTGATCCACAAGCCAAGAGTCCTGAAGGTTTCGCTATTTTTAGTATCTCAAGCCTGTTGTCCTGATCTTTGAAACTTGAAGGTTCTGCTACCATTTCATGCCCACTATGGTTTACCTTGCATTACATCTGTTCATTCAGTGGTTGTGATTTAACTTCCAAATACTTCCTGGGGAAGCAAGACGTTGCCCTGTTCTGCACTTGTGAAGATTATATCGTATTTTGGGATCTTAAAATTAATCCTTGTGTTTAAGCCCTGCTTCTTTGTGCATACCTGCTCCCATGGCAGTTTCAGGAGGGCAGATTGAGTTAAGATGTCGAGGTGTCTGTTGTGTTCTGAGGAGCTGAACAACAGAGGAAGCTAAAAAACTAAGAGACCAACTCTAAAGCAAGGGACGGGTGACAGTCAATTTATCTCTGCAGCTTTCTTGCGTTAACAGCTGGATATCCAGCATTTTGCTCAACCTAGCCTCATAGTAATGCCATGGTAATATGCAATGAAGATGTACGCTTAGACACGACTGGAGTTGCCCTTTAGTTTTCAGGTTCAAAAATACGCTACAGTCTTCATCCTTTAAAAAACCAAGTATACCATCTGCATGATCTGCTATTCCCCTCAACTGCATTATATTTACCATTCAATGACCTTTTTGCCTTGGATTGTGGATGGGTTGTGGCAGAGATCTGTCCCTGCCAGGTCTTTACTGCTGTTCAGGACCTCCCAGAGAGTTCTCTGCCTACCCCTTATTTAGCAGTTCTTTAGCATTGTCACCAATTTCGGATCCACTAATGGCCAGTTGATGTCGCAAATATGGGCTGGGGGCGCCATTTAGTGTGGTGGACAGAGTTGGGAGTTCAGGTGCAGCTATCTCACCTCTAAGCATCTACCCTGAATTGAAAAATCCGTTTTTGGTTACACTTCATGGCAAAAGGACCACATAATAAAAACCTGGCAATTGCAAATTTATTTTGTTAGCACAGATTTTTTACAAATCTACAGTATATTTTCAGTAAAAAAATTATTTTTTAGTGCACATAAATACAATAAAATACCCAAATTTTCTGTAAAATATAAACAATAATATACACAATAAGTTGAGCAAATAGATATCAAATATGTCAAGATTCTGTGGAAGAGATTTACTAAATCTGGTGCACACAGAAGCTGGTGCAGCTGAGCAGAGTAACCAATCAGCTTCTAGATTTTCTTTTTTGTCAAAGCTTAATTGAACAAGCTGAAGTTAGAAGCTGATTGGTTACTCTGCGCAGCTGCACCAGATTCTGTGTGCACCAGTTTTAGTAAATCCCCATTATGACTGCAGGTGCCAGCAACAAACTATGATATTCATAATTATCCATATGTGATAGTAGTATTTGAGTGATGGGTACTCCTTATAGAAATATCAAGCTACTCTGATCGAAATGGAGTTTTCAGTCACCTGCACACCGAAATGCTCACAGCTGAGCACTTCTTCACAAGAGAAATGGAGGAATGAGTATTCCTCTATCTCTCCCCATTCCCCATCCTGTTGTCTTTTTTTTTTTTTTCCAGTCTCAGGCTCTCAGGAGAAGCAGGGGAATCTGGGGACCATAGAAGTAATAAAGTGGCTGTAAAGCCTCTGGATCAGATCTACAATATGGCCAGCAGTCTGCTCTTAAAAAGTAAACACACTTACAGCTGTTCTTGCGGTCATGAGTTTGTTTCTATGCCATTACCTTTATGTCAGTAAAAGGGTTACTACCCATATTGTACTTTAGGTATTGTGATACTGTCAGGACTTTGCTTGCTAATCGTAATATTCATGTATTTCTATTCTCCACCTGCAGCTGGCAATCTTTCCTTGGTATCTGACTTTGTGATGGAAAACCGAGGTGCCATAATACGTCCACCAGACAACGAAGTCATGAGTGATATGTACATACGTATCTGTGGACTGGACGGCACAGTGTACTCCGGCGAGCAGTATAAGCTTGAGGTTTGGGGAGAGGTTTACCTTCCTGAACCAACCAAAATGGAAGTCCTTGGCATCCTGGAGAGCTCAGAAGGCATGCCTACATTCCCACAGTGGATAGTTCTTATGGGAGAAGATGGGCATGTGTTTGGCTATGAAGATGAAGTGCTTTATGTATTTGCCAGCAGTCTAGAAGAGCTTCTACAAAAAGGCTTTAATACTGACATAAGCTATGACTACCCAGATGACCGCAGCGATGAGGTATAGTATAATATGTTCATACTGTCTGCTGCTCTCAAGATTCTATAACCTGGCCACAGATATGTTGTTAAATATGTACTGATTCTTAACAAGCGGTAAATGAGCTTTGAAATATGCCCTCACTGACCCCTTTAGATCCAGTTACTGCGGAGCAGGTCATCCTCAAGATTCACAGTTGAAGCACTGACAGTATTAAAGTTTGCTTTTTCAGCAGTGCATCTGTTTTTGTTCTGCCCTCTGAGATCATGTGCTCTTTGTTTACATTACAGATTGAAAGGCTACAGGGTAATTGCTGGAAGGGGAAGCTATGCCACTGCTGGGAGGGAGAAGCAGGGAGGGGCTGACCTGATGGGAGTAAAATCATCGGAAACTGAGCTGCTGGGTCACTCTTGGGAGGGAGAAACAGGAGGAGCAGAGCTGCTGGGTCACTCCTGGGAGGGAGAAGCAGGAGGAGCTGAGCTGCTGGTAGAAAAATCATGGGAAGCTGAGCTGCTGGGTCATGTTGGGATGGGGGTAGCTGAGCTACTGGGTCACTGCTGAAAGAGGATGCTGAGCTGCTGGGGAATGGATGCCAGGGGAAGCTGAACTTCTGGCTCATGAGTCTCTACTGAAGGGGTGAGTATCGCAATGAGCTGAGCTGTTAAGTCACAGTTGGTAGGAGAGTGCAGAGCTGCTGGGTCAATACTGGGATGGAAACTTGAGTTGCTGAAAAAATGACTTGAAGAACGTCAGTGTTTCTGCAGTGAACAGTGAGGATTAAATGTTCCATTGTTCCTGCAGCTACAGAGATTAGTGAGGGCATGCTTTAAAGCTTGTTAAGAATCTATAAAGAGTTGAATGTTCATAGCCTGGCTACAGGTTCACTGTAAGAACATTCACAGAGGTTTCCTAGAAAATGTTTAACCGTTTAGGGGGAAGAGAGTGCCAGGAAACCCGCATTTTCAAGAGGAGTGCAGCATTGCTATTAAACCATTTGTGGCTTTTGCATGCATCCCTCTCATGGCTAAACAGATGGTCATGGCATCGTTACTTTGTCATCTAGAAAACACTGTGGGGGGTATTTACTAATACTGCATGGTGCAAAATCTGGTGCAGCTCTGCATAGAAACCAATCCGCTTCCAGGTTTTATTGTCAAAGCATAATTGAACAAGCTGAATTTAGAAGCTGATTGGCTATCATGTACAGATTCTGAGTGCTCCACTTTTAGTAAATCTCCCTCTGTTTTTAACACAGATTCACTTTAAGGTGATCTCCTGACATGGCCAACATTTCCTGCCAAGCCCTTATCTCCCCTTTTTAGATCATGGCCTAGCATTTATTTAATTTCTTCTACTTTGGTTCCTGTAGTGAGTAACCATTTGTATTACTTCTTGTGACATCATCAAAGGAAGCTGGTTGGGGTGCCACAGAGGCAGTGATGAAGCCAATAAGCGGAAATTAGGAGCTGGATTTTCAGCAGGATTATCAAGGGGTTTTTTTTGTATTTACAGCAGCCATTCCAAAACTTTTCAACACAGAGGAACCCTTGAAATAACTTTCCGGTCTCAGGGAACCCCTGCTAAAAGTTACTATATCTACAACTCATGATACATTAGTGTGGTGGCCAGTGGGAAGAATACTTCTTACAGTTGTGGCCATTGGAGAGAATTAAAAAAGATCAATGGTGTCGTGAACTTACATGAGAGGCAGAAATTGCCCAAGGAACCTCTGGAGGAACCCTGGTTGCGAAACCCTGATTTACAGAGATTTTAGTGGGATAAAATACAGGAAATGTGCATACAGTGCAGAAATGTACTTTTTTTTTGTCCCATGCATACACATTAAAGTGACAGATCAACTGTATTTTGTCCCCTTACAGGAAGAGGAAGACTCTCAGGAAGATGAAGAAATCCAGAGACTAATACAGAAGACTGATGAATTCATTAACAGTAAAGCAAATAACTTTACCAGGTTCTTGAAGTTGCAGCTTAAGGTATAACTGGTAACCAGACAAGAACTCAAAAGAGCTTTGATAGCCATAGACAGAATAATGTTGATTGTTCTATTCAGCTAATGGTTACCAGAATCCTGTACTCCAGGGTCATCCTATCCACTATAAAGAAGTTTAGGAGACCGGCCCACCTGTTCCAGGCTTTCTGGTAAACTCTGTAGAGTTGGCTAATCAGAATTTTGCCGTATATTATCTTTTTCAGAAATGTCTTCTGGAATCATCTTTGGAGAAACCATCCCTAGTATTGGGAATTGCTGATGTCTTTTGATGCTTTAACATGAGTTTCCTGGAAAATGTCAAATGTGAATGCACATCTGTAGGCTCTTACCTTTTTATGGTGTAGACAATGTCCAGGCCTGTATTGGCAAAACTCAAGCTCTTTTCTACACAGTCCTGGTCAGTCATGGTCACCCGCTCCATATGAAGAGGCTGCTAAATACTTTGAGTTGGGTTACAATTTACAGATCTGAAAAGGGGATAATTACTGAGCCATTACAAAAAATAGGTAATCCAGGCAATTCAGGACCAGCAAGCACAGCTTGGGGTGCAGGAAACACAAGCTGAGAATCCAAAACGTTGGGGCTTAAATAATTTCTCACCCTTATGTGCACGTCTGACTGGCCAATTTCTCTCTGAGAGCTGTCTAAATAAGTTAAAGTGGTGGTAAACCCTTAGATATACCCAGTGAAGTGACCGGCCTCAGGTGATACACAGAGATGAAACAAATCCTCCTACATAAGTTGTACCTGTTTATCTTCAGTGTACTCTTCTCTACCACCATTCAAAATCCAGAATTTCTAAAGCTTGTCTCAGAGTTCGAAAAGCATGGGGCGGAGAGCTGAAATTACACACTGCAGAGCTCAGTGAGGAGAGCTCTGACAGCTGATTGGAGGAAAGGAACACGCACCCTACATACAGCTCACAGGAATAGAGCTGAGGTTGTCATTCTGCTGGAGGTCCCTCCCCTGTCACCATTTTTCTTTTGGTGTCAAGAAAACTTGTCAGAAGTGATTCCTGCTGATAGCAGAGGAATGAAGCAGCAGACAGAAATAACACTTAGTGCTAATAATTGAGACACGCACACACTATAGAGGGATATGCTTTGTTCATATTTCCACTTTTAAGAGCTCAAAACAAATGCCATGTATTGCAGAAGCATCTGATAGATCAGACTGAATCATGTCCAATAACAGCATCCTTAGTAGAAGCCACCATGGTCAGGAGTAGTGCAGGCCCAGGTGCTTGTGACTGCAGCCTGTTGTATCTAATGCAAAGCTGATAAATGGGCCTGGGAATTCAGGGACTGACTTTCTGAATGTACTGTGTAGCAAAGGTGAACACATCCCTTGTAAAGAGCTCATCACTGCAGAAGAAATTTTTTGGGATTGGTTTCCAATCTCCTTCTAAAGGGCTTCTCCAGATAGTCCTGATCTTTGGATCGGTAGTAAGGAGTGTAGTAATGTAAATGACATTTGCCTCTGCTACAGAGATGTCAGATTTAGGAGCACTGGTTCCATGTATGGGTGCATCCCCTGCACAGTCACAGTGTAGAGCAGGGGGGGTACATGTGTGCCAGGAACCAGAACTTGGAGGATGCGCAGCTCCACTTGTATGGGTGCAGCCCTTGCATGGACACACCTTGTTGAAATCCTCAGACATCTACGGGGCTGAAGTCCAATTCACATGCTCCAAGTATCAGTCCTTGGGAGATGGACAGCTCCATAGTGGAGGCACATCATCACATTCTCCTACCTGGATCTACAGATCATGTTTTTCTGGAGATTCTCTATAATTGTAAACACGCCCAGATGAATTGTTTTTATACCAGTTGCCATCTGCTGCTGGGATGCAGACATCATGCAGCACAAAGAACCAATGAAGCATGATGTCTACATCCCATCAGCAGATGGCAACTGTTTGGAAAGCAGATAAACTTGGGTCAATTTTTAGACTAATCACTGATTTAGTGCTGAAATCAATATTGATGTACTTATCGCTGTTAAAGTCCTCCTTTATCCAGGTCAAGGTATAGCTGGTAGTAATTGGTCACATTCAACTGGACTTGTTCTGTAAAGTTGAAGGCATTTCGTAACTTCTCCAAGCCACTTCAAAAAATTAACAAATGGATTGGAAGTGCCAGGGAATGTCTTCAACATCACAGAGCAATCCCAGTTGAATGTGACCAATACTACTGTCTAGTGATGTACATAGTGCAGTAACCAATAAGTACCACATTGAGATAACTGTTGTTGGCCCAATGGTACTGCCATCTGCACACCATCATTACTTTTGTACCTTTTCCTACAACTATCATGTAGACTTTCATGTAACTTTTCATGTTGCTGAAACCTTTAAAGTTGTTTGACACAACTTTAACAAAAACACTTTCATCCCCTGTGATGTGGGGAGTAAGATGGACCAGTCGTTGGTCGTCTATGAATAGCACTGTGTTGATATTTCAGTGCAGTACTGTAGGTGGGTTCAGTCACTGGATGAGTTTTCCCTTTGTGTTCTGGTCCAGACTGAGGATGAAAGTTGAATTTTTGAATAGTGGTCCCTGTCGAATACTTTACTGGACAGGCCTCTATCTGATAAATACTGTGCACATCTTCTGCCCAAATGCTTGTTGGAATGTAATGAAAAATTATAAAAAAAAATACTAAATATCCTCATATTGAACAATATAGGTCACACATGGGGAAAACAAACCATGTGACTGAGCCCTATAAGGTCAGTCCACCTAAAACTGATATTTACATTATAGCGTCACCTTGGTTGTCTGAATCACTCATCTTGTATCGCTCATGGATCCATTCGCCAACATTCCCCCACCTGAATTCTGTTCTCATTACATGCAACGTCACTTCTTCCTGTTATACAAATGAAAAATGATAAAACACAACAGTGAGAGTGATGTTATACTAGCCAAGGCAGGTGGATGGAGCTGGGAACACAACTGAAAAGACTTGAGCTATGAAGAGGTGAAATAAGCTCCTGGGTGATTCAAATAACCATTTTAATTGGACTGATCCTTAAGATAACAGGCGTTGTGATTTGTGGTTGTAGTTTGGAATAAGACATTTACCTAGATTGCATGCTCTTGAAGTCAATGTCTTCCACCAATGGGCTTGTCCTGCTTCATTAGGACCTGTTAGGCACATTGGCAGATGCCAATGAGATTATTAGCAAGCCATCTGGATAGTTTTTGTTTTTGTGTACATGCAGGATTCCATACTGTTGTCATACAGTTACAGCGCAATGGGATGCGCTTCCCAACCACAGGCCACACATGCCAAAAATGAAAGATAAGATTGAGAACAACCTTCACCTCCAAGAATGAAAGGTCTCTAGATTGGAGTTGGTGAAATGTGACGCTCCCTATCCACAGACCTACTACGCCTGCAGAGTTTTGGTCTCCCAATGCTTAAAGCTACAGCCAATTAAGAGTTACCTGTGCCTTGCTGCAAAGCCAGTTTGGAGTCATACTGGGACCTGAGCCTGCAGGTGAACCACTACGGACGGGGGCTAGGTCATCTCAGTCCAAGCTAAAGACCTTTCTGTCTTGGAGTTGTCCTCTTAAGGGGTTGTCCACTCTTCTTCAGTTGAATTCCAGCTGCTGCTTTGCCGTTGAAAAGTGCAAGGATCCTATGCTATGAAGAGTTCAGCGCGTGATTGGCTGACAAATACAGGCAATAAAAAATGTAATCCCGACAGCAATCTTTTAAAGGATAAGTGCACTTACCTTTTTTGACCCTTTGTCCTGACCTATCTTAACCCACCCTCCCCTACACAGATGCCTACTTATTCAGTGCCCAGCAAAGCCAGGATGTAAAGTGACTGCATCTGAAAGGTGAAGGTGGGTCAGGTTAGGTCAGGCAACGGGACAAAAAGGAGACACGGACTTTGTCTTGTAGGGCTTTTCATATTCAATTTCCTTTAGATTTACCTTCAACTATGTAGTGCAAGGACCTGCCTGATTGCATATATTTTGAAGTGTTTAGGTTTGTCCTCCTATTATATGGTTTTGGTCAATCTAAAGGAAAATTGTATAATGTATAACCAGCCTTATTCACACCATGTCTATTGAGCTGCGGTTTTCATCACACCACCACATGATGTATGTAGACAAAACCAGGAACGTCCCTAGGGTTGGTTTCAACTAGTGCCAGAACACTTGGTGACACCCCCTCCGACGATCCCGCAGGATGACTCCGATCCATTATTCTCAATCTGCAGATCCGATCCATCCTGCGGGGATCGTCGGCTTGCTTTGAAACTTACCTTTTCGTAGAGAGATCAGTTAACCCCGTATAGGTTGCAAGACGACGATCCTGCAAGATGGATCGGATCTGCGGATTGGGGAGGATAATGGATCGGACTCCGATCCATTTTGCTCAATCCGCAGATCCGATCCATCCTGCGGGGATCGTCGGCTTGGTCTAAAACTTACCTTTTCGTGGAGAGATCAGTTAACCCCGTATAGGTTGCAAGACGACGATCCCTGCAGGATGGATCGGATCTGCGGATTGGAGAGGATAATGGATCAGCCTTCGATCCATTATGCTCAATCCGCAGATCCGATCCATCCTGCGGGGATCGTCGGCTTGGTCTAAAACTTACCTTTTCGTGGAGAGATCAGTTAACCCCGTATAGGTTGCAAGACGACGATCCCTGCAGGATGGATCGGATCTGCGGATTGCGGATTGGGGAGGATAATGGATCGGACTCCGATCCATTTTGCTCAATCCGCAGATCCAATCCATCCTGCGGGGATCGTCGGCTTGGTCTAAAACTTACCTTTTCGTGGAGAGATCAGTTAACCCCGTATAGGTTGCAAGACGACGATCCCTGCAGGATGGATCGGATCTGCGGATTGGGGAGGATAATGGATTGGACTCCGATCCATTTTGCTCAATCCACAGATCCGATCCATCCTGCTGGGATCGTCGGCTTGCTTTGAAACTTACCTTTTTCGTGGAGAGGGTCCG